TCTTCTAATTTCATGAGAGCTTAACAGTTCAGTTATTACTGAAAATTTGCAGGCTCCATTTACCCTAAATAATTTAATAAGGCAAATTAAATAAACTAGAAAAAAGCAGAAATATGCCTGGCAGACAGCTAGCTCACTAGTTTTCTTTTATAATTGAATAACAATTATCAAATGAACCTTGTATGTACTGAAAAAGCAAGAAACATTATGGAGTATTAAAATACTTATATCTGTTGTGTATTAGATATCTTCTGTCTTGAAAAGGTAAACGGTGTATATTAGCACTTTAAGAGCAAAAGATTCTATTAGAATAGTGCATTTGTTGTATAGTGCTCTTAGAAGAATTCAGATTTCTAGTCAGTATTCTCTAATTTAAAATAACCACTTCTGTAAATGTCTCAGTAGTAATGACATGATGTAAACACTTGTCTCAATTATGTATTTGGATAACATGGGGAAAAATTAGGAATAATTATTTTTATTTTATTCCCACCCCATTTTTATCTATATCTCCTCAGATTTTTATTTGATTTTTATTATTTTCATTGTCAATTGCTATAGCATCTGCCACCATACACTACTTAAAATTAAATAAATACATAAAGTACTTAATGTGGGTGGCCAAAAAGTCAGCCACCTCTTACTGAGAAAAACAGAGCCGTGCATTCATGTCAGTAGTCAGCTATGCTGACACCATTCCCTGAACGTTATGAAATTTAGGTTCTGGTGGATAGTTAGAGAAAGGGAGCTCCATAATCAAGGATACAGAGAACACACTGCTGCTGATTCTAGAAATTTCTATTCTGAAAACTGATAGCAAAAATGTCCCAAATGATCTCTCGTTTAGGGCTTTAAAGGTCAACAAACATGAATAGTGCTTAAAATATGGAAGTGCAAAGATTTAGATTCTCCCTATTGGATGCTCTGAAGAACTCCCTGGTGTGGGAGGGGGCCCACCAGCAATTACTCTGTACGATTTTGCTAGTGGGGAAGACAAATCAGCAGTAGCTCCTCTAAAAGATCCTTGTAGTTTTTACATGGAAAATGGCCTCTTTCAAAGGTCTTGTCTAAACTGGTGGTGATGTGTAAGGTACATGTAGCTATATGCCACAGTGAAAAAAAGCAGGCTTGTCCACACTGTGGTGTATAGCTACCCATGACAGTGGAAGGTTCTGGCAGGGGGGAGGCAGCGGGGACTGCCAGAGCCTTTCCTTGCTGTCTTTCCCTGCTGGAGTCTTTCCCTGTGGCATAGAGAGGCTCCAGTGGCAGGGATGAAGTGGTACACTACTCTGCTAAAAATAGTAGTGGGAACATCAATAGTGTGAACATTGGTTGTGTAGAGAACTATATAGGGTATATATTCTAAGGTTCTAATGTGTCTTTACTTTACTTGCCTAAGTAGTGCCCCATTATTTATGCTGTTGTTTATACCCATGCTAGGTTGACATCAGGGCTGGCTCCAGGCACCAGCCGAGCAAGCTCGTGCTTGGGGCGGCAGATTCCAAGGGGCGGCATTCCGGCCGCCCTTTCTTTCTCTTTTTCTTTTTGGTTTGCCGCTCCGTCCGCCCTGTAGGAAGCAGCGGTGCGGAGGAGGGGAGCGCCCAGCATCAAACTTGGCAGGGCAGCCTGCGTCCTTCCCTTCCAGCCGACCGGAGCGGCGCAGAGCCCTCCTGGCAGGCGGCACAGAGGGAGGGGCTGCGTGGCAAGCGCCCCGCTGAAGCCCTGGCCGCCACCCTTCTCTCTCTCCCTCCTCCCCCCTGCTCCCTCCCCCCCCTGCTAGACCGGGCGCACACTCCGCTGCACGTTTGCAGCACAGGGAGTCCCCCTGCACCCTGGCTCTGGCCACCCTGCAATTTTGTTTTGTTTTTTGCTTTGCCACTCCGGGCCCGCCCCCCCCCCCCACAGTATTTTTTTTTTTGCTTGGG